TACTATACTTACTACAATAAATCAACACACTTCAACTTCATAGTCCTTATGGACGCATAGACATTATGAGCAGAAGCTGATAATAATGGCAGTTGCTAGGCGCTATACTGTTTACATGGCTTTCTCTCCAAGAGAGTGTCTCACAGATTGAATAGTGTGTTGAGAGAGAGACTTTGAGGGCACTTACTCTATGGAATACTGACGGCGTTTATGACTACGTGATACATGCGCTTGCGAAATATGCATAACACGAGCAGTATAAGCGTCTCAATCGTGAGTACTACTACTGCTATAGCTAGAGCTTTACTTCGAATACAACATTAGATGAGCGACGTATGTAGTGTTAAAATAAGCTGCTGAAGAGACATTCATGCTTAAGTCTCAACTACTACTTACTACTCCAACTACTACTACGCTTTTACTGTATATAGGCGATAATTTACAAGCCAAGAAATACATGTTACGCATAGTGGCTAAATGTAGCATGACATCATGTCACTCATGAATCAAGCAGCTGTGCTAGTCTTGCTTGCTAGGCCACGCTGCTGAGCTAGCTGCTGCTGGCTACTAGTGCTTGCGCGCGCTTGCGCTATCTGATTGAACATATATGATTTCTATGAGTATCCTATAAGCATTCCAATGATCGCATTCCACACCGCATGGACGCAGGGAAGCTCGTATGCATAGAGCGATAAGATCACTCAAATCACACTAGTAGCTTAACTTAATTGCTATTGAGCGTCTTAGTAAGAATATGTTGATAGCAACTACTGAATCAATGGTATAGCTTTATCTGCTCGGAGCGCCACTTTCGCTGAAAGTATGATTCGTCACATTACTGCCTACTTTACCATCTGCATTCACTCTTCATGTCTTGCTCTGCAACTTACATAATTCTCTCAGTCTTATTCTGCGTCATCTCCGCATGATTGTAATTCACAAAATTTCACTCTCCTCAGCTGCTTTCCCCATTCTTCCGCCTGTACCATCGAGAAACGATAAAAATGCATAGATGTTCCCTTCTAAAAAAAATGGCAAAGTTGGCATCTAAATAAAAAAAATCAAATTGCACTGATCATGATGAGTTAAAAACTTATTTTATATCGGGCCGTAGTAAATATCGAAGCAAAAATAATTAAGACGTTTTAAGTCCAACACCGCATATCAATCACTGCGCAACGCGCTGCAGTTAAAATCTATACAATCTATATCGAGGCGAAGAAAAAAAAAACCGAAATTGCGTTCTCTAAAACTAAGCTGTCTGCACGAAAACACTAGAATGCATCGACTTCAGTCCAAGCTGTACTCTGGTTGTCAACCTGTGGTGGGCGCGGCCGGGGTCCAGATAATAGGCCGATATGGATGACACGTAATCCAACATATATGCTCGTTGCTTCGATGCCTGTATATTGATCACACCAGCGCCAAGAATACGTGATTTTTAGTTTGCTCAAGTACATTCAGCTATCTGTGCTAACTGTGTTTGTCCTGCGAAATATACCATTATTAATTACCTGCTCAATATAAATAAAGATGCTCTGCTCGAAATCAAAAAGTGATAAAAGTAGCAAAACGCTGTATCACGAATTCACCATAATGTTCAATTCAGAACCATAACGGTTCGCTACAACAAGGTAAGTAAAAGGTATATGTAAAAGACCCGGAGCGTGGCTTGCCGAGATGGTTATCCAAAAATGTTGCCGAATGCTCGCAACTTAAGTCCGACAAAGAGAACCCATAGTGGTTGCAGTGACCATATAAATTGTACTTAATAATTAACGTTCGTATTTCTACTACTCAACTCTTAAAATATAATCAAACCAAAAGTCTTACAAGTAATACGTAAATCGTAATGCTACCATGTTTAATCATAAACTAGGCGCTATATCTATTGCAGCATAAAAGTAAAGAAAAAGCTAAATCGAATATTCTTCAATCAATCGCTCCGCACCACACCCCCACCCACCACACCCACCCCCCACAATACCAATGGAACGAAATATAAAGGTTGTATAATCACTAATAAGTAGGCCGGCCAATACAAAAAGTAGCGCTGGCGGGTTGACTAAATTCCAAGTGTATCCCTCTCGTTTTCACGCTTCGTCGTAATTAATAACTAAACTACCCGGCAAGATTAAAACAAGTGTATATCTTAAGCCTTGAAAAAAAAAAAAATTACAAAAAACGTCATGCTGAAATAACTCGGCGACGTCTTCCAAAAATAGTATGTGAATCGTGCCGCGAAGAATGTCTGACGTTTCTAAAAAACACTCTGTCGACAAAGCTTCCAAAAAAAATACGCGTTTGGACCCATCCCCTAAAAACTTTCTCATCAAAAATTAGCTTCAAAGGAAACCTTAATTGCCTTTTTCTTTAAATTGGCACTCTGTATTTGTTATTACTCCTCTGCTATTGTTCACCTACGCAGTGGTTTGAACTTGTGAAAACCTTTAATTTTAGCAGTATTATTCGTGCCACTGAGTGAAGTCAACTTTCAAGTTTTTTGGCCAATTCCAAAATAAACTTCGCTAAAAACTCGATCATGTAGTTGATCTGTGTAACTGCGGAATCTCTTTTCCGATTATTTTTTAAATATACGCAATAAATCGTGATAATATATTTGTTTTGCTGGTCGCCCGCCCGGTGCACCGTGCGTGCGTGGCGGGCTAGCGGCGCGCCGTGTGTGATGTACTGGCCGCGCGCGCGCCCGGCCGCGCGCCGCTGTTTGTCGTGGGGAGTGTCTAATATTCAAAGCCGGTAAACGCCGAGCGCATTACGGTGCCATATATTTGCTATCTAATAACTAAATCGTGCGTCAAAAATAAACTTTCAAAAATTTCAAGAGCGAGCGATACGCTACAAAAGACGTGTCTAAAGGTATCTGGAAATTTTAAAGAAAAATTTAAGCATCCTGTAAAATTCACTTCGGCATAAAATATTTGCTAAAATATTGAACTAAATCTGCGTCAATAACTCCAAAATTCACTGAGATATTAAATGCTAGCCGGTCGCCGGAGTCACTCATTTGCTATAATCATAAGTCTGAAATCCCTAACTGCAATCCTGTCTTAGCTATACTCTTCTGTGAAATATTGAGTTTATTGACGGGCAGATTAGTCAATACTAGCTAAATATATGCGTAGCGTAATCGCCCGTAAAACCCGGCCGCGATAATGCCTCCCCTCCCACACCAAACACCCACCACACGGCCTGTTTGTGTGTGTGTGCTTGGCGGCAGCCGGCGTGTGGTTGCGTAGCGTGCGTGTCGTGTTGCGTGGCGTGCGTGTGTGTGTGTGTTGTGTGTGTGTGCGCGAATGCGCGCGGGCGCGTGTGTGTGCATGTGTTTGCGTATCAGTATTCTCTCCCCACCCCGAATCTGCCCCATAGTAAAGAAAATGATACGCGTCTCGACGATTGTGCGATTTGTAGATGCCCCACTCCGCGTCCCAGTCTGGAAAATGCGGGAAAACAAACATATCTCAAATTAGTTGATTGAAAGAGGTGAGAGATAGAAAAGTTCGAATTTATTCAGCTCGGAAAATCAGCCCCCAATGCTGCCGTTCATGATTGTTCGCCCTAAGTCGATCCCCCATTGGCCTTGATAGAAGTGCTGGCGGCGAGATATAATCGACATCAACACTACTTATCAAAATCTTAGGCACGATAAGGCAGATAAAGAGAATTTACTTTAACCAGATAATATACATAGATAGAATCGCTGAAATGAACTCTCGCTCTGGCACCAGTTTCTACGGCTCTCTGCTCTCGTCTCGCATCTCTCGCTCTCTTCCTCTCTCTCTCAGCCGCGCTCATCCAGATCTTCTCCATCTCTCTCTCTCTCTCGTCTTCCTCTCTGCGCCATCAGAACTCGCGCGGCAGCTTCCCTGAGGGCGCCGTCATCTCTCTGCTCTCTTCTCTCTTCGCTCTCTCCTCCCGCTCCCCCAATAGCTCACGCATCTCATCTCCTCATCCGTAAGCTGGCTAAAAATAGGAAAAAATAGGAAAAAATAGGAACTTGACGCCCTGGGTATGTCACCACGGAGACACTATCAGGTACATAAGGGGTATGTCGCCATGGAAACAGTATTATGTATATAAGGGGTATGTCGCCATGGAAACAGTATTATGTATATAAGGGGTATGTCGCCACGGAGACAGTATTATGTATATAAGGGGTATGTCGCCATGGAAACAGTATTATGTATATAAGGGGTATGTCGCCACTGAGACAGGCACAGTGCAAGTCACTGCGCACCATGTGCAGAGGATAGATGCCGACTGTAATTTAATTGTAACTGTACATATTGTTTGTCAAAATGTTAGTTTAAGAATTATTAAAATTTCGGTGACATTCTTTGAACACTCGTTCTTGGTTTATATACCTGGTAAAAGTTTATTGGCTCAAACTCCTGACCTAATGACCCTAACCCAGGAAGGCATCACAATAGAAATCCTATCATAAGGTTACGCCAAAAATTTACAGGAAAATGTTTTTATACTAAATACTACACAACTGCTATCTATACCGACCTGTACTTATCTACATTAACAAAGGTAGAAATTAACTTTTGGACACGGGAGTCCAACGGACTGGACTACCTACCCTCAAAAATAGGGAGTCCGCAGCAAAATGAGGGAGTCCGCAGTCTCAGGTACAAAATTAAAGATATTAAAAATAACGCATGTGCTTATTTTTAAGATTCATGCAGTTGCACGTCTGCCAAATTTTCTTGGGACATTAGCTGAAAAAATACGGTAATTCCGCGAGGCCGTGCTCCGGAACGAACTAGTCAGTATCGCAGAATTTTCTGACAGGAAGTCACACGGACTCCTGCGTATGTCAAATCAGGGAGTCTGACAGTAAATCAGGGAGTATTTGACTCCGGACTCCCGTTAATTTCGCACCCTGCATTATGAATATATCATTTAAGTTTTATTCATAATTTCTGTTCCCTTATATGTCACTTTATATACACTAACTCCTAGAAAGTTGCATTTACCTGTTCCACACCGGTTACATGTAGTCCGTCGTGCAAAATTGACATTACCACATCTGCAAAATAGAATGTGATTCTCCAGTCCCTAGTCATAAAATGTTTGATGAAAATAATATTTTTAAGTTAAAGGGATACTAGACTAAGATTTTACTGAATACAACTGTACCTAGTTACTGTATAACAAATCGTCTATACCCACACGTACTTGTTACCAGATACCTAATTTAATTGTTATAATTAATTATACATCAACGCTACGAAATTTGAACGGCGCCATTGACACCCGCGACCGTGCTGCCAACCTGAAAAAGTTGCGCATTTTCCCAATATATTTTGCACGTTACAGACCGAGGGCTAATCACAAAGATGTCTGTAACGTCAAACACTAAAAACATACTGTCTGTGTTCGTAACCGAGCTGTGTCACGCGAAATCACACAAAGCCTGACGAAATTCTCGTGTTCGCTCCCGTTGCGCAGTTTATATATACCCACTGGCGCTCTTCGTGACCTCATTTTTGCGCCGCAACGCTCCACTGGCGGCTTTGACGAGGCTGGTACGGGAGTTGGAAAGCAGCGTGGTATTTTCCCAAAATGCAGTGCGCCGCCTATAGCCCTGTACTTGCAGCCATTTCATACACCGCGCAATGGGAGCGAACGCGAGAATTTCGTCAGGCTTTGTGTGATTTCGCGTGACACAGCTCGGTTACGAACACAGACAGTATGTTATAACAAGTGAACACTGTTCTTCAAATAGAAACAAAGATGGAGTAGAATGGTTGAATATTTGTGTTGTATTCGTATGAAATCAAGCAAGCGTCGAGCAAATTTTGACAGCAGGCTTTCCTACCTGCTATATATTTACAGAGTAGCTATATGCACGGCAGCCGGCATATATCAGAATATCTGACGGCTGCCGGGCACGGTCTTCGATTTCCTAAATGCCCGGCAGTTTTTAATTTTCAGCGTAATCTCAACTAAACAAGGGCTAGAGTTAGGGTTAGGATTAGGAACTGCCGGGCATTTAGGAAATCGAGACCGTGCCCGGCTGCCGGGCATATAGCCACACAGCGATATATTTATGTGTCACGTGTGCAGCGGCAGCCAGCGTTTGATGCAGATCAGCATTTGGACGGCATTTGCAAGAAATTGTCGGCAATAATAGGTGAGAGAGTATAGAATTAGAAACATTAAGACTTTGGTAGTATATAAATTTCGTATTTATTTAGCATTATATTTTATTGAAGGCAGTGGCTACGGGTACGCCAGGCGTATCTTAATGTCTCGAGGCTACGGGTACGCCAGTCCATTCGCTTTCATACTTAACGAGACAAAGATGGCGGCGGT